GAGGTTCCGGCGGCTTCCTTCAGTTTGTCTGGGACAAAGCTAGTGGAGTGTGACGGGAGCGAGGGGCACGGGGCCGGCGCAGGTTCTCTCCTCACCTGGTGGTGGAGCCCACGAGCCTCCTCCGCCCCAGAGACCCCCGTTCTCCCCCGGGCTCCCTGCTGGCTTCCCACGCCTGGGTAGCGTCTGTCCTGTGCTCCTTTCCCCACCCGCTGCTGCTTCCAGATTTGGGAGGGATTTTCAGCCAAATACTGTCACTGATGGCAACTTGATTGCTAAAGATTTTTTGTGGTTTAATTGAAATACGTTTCGGGGGGCTGGCAAGTGGGGTGGCGATTGAGGCGCTGGACTCCCACATGGCTGACAGTGGTACAAGTCCCGAAACTGGCCTCCCCCCCCCCTCGCTCTCTCTGATCAAAGTGAAGAAAAATAATAAACTAAAAATAAAATAAATAATTCTTAAAAAAAAAAAAGAAACATGTTTTAACATATACACTAGTATACCAGTTTATCTTGCTCACCTTTGAAAATCCTCAAAGTTGTGCCCCTATGGGAGTGTCCTCCATGGGACACTGGGGTTTTAGCTGTCAGAGTCGGTAGTGTCTGTCTTTACGCTTGGCCTAATGTCATTCACTGTAAGGCCCTGGGTCCTAGTAGTCAACCCAAAGGCACTGACATCCTTGCTCTCAACAGCACTTACACTCTGGGTGTGAGGGAGAGACACAGTAAATAAGTGCTTTGAAATAGAACAGGGGAATGGGACAGGAAAGGGAGAAGCTTTATGGTGGGCAAGGCCTTTCTGACATTTCAGCTTCAACTTGAATGAAGACAAGAATCCAGCCATATATGGATTTGGGGAAAGTGTGGTTCTGATGGAGTGAACATCAAGTGAAATGGGAACCAGCTTGGCAAGTTTGAAGTTAGAGTAAATGGTTGGAGATGAGGTCAGAGGAGGATGCAGGGGTCAGGTCAACGCAGGAGCTGGGACACCACAGTAAGGAGTTCGGATTTTTATTCTAAGTGCAGTGGAAAGACAGCTTTTGAAAGATCATTTGGTCGATGAGTGAAGAATGGGTTGTTGAGGTAGTAAGAGTGGCAGCGGGAAGACCTAAATGATGTTGGTTCAATAAAAATGGGCTATTTTAATGGGGTTTTATTATTTTTGTCCTGCACTTAATAGCGTGGTAATCTTGGTTTTCCAGGATTTCAGATATGCTTGCACTGGAGAATGATTTCTTCAATTCCCCGCCAAGAAAAACTGTTCGGTTTGGTGGAACTGTGACAGAAGTTTTGCTGAAGTATAAAAAGGTAAGAGGAGATAAAATGTGAAGTCTGATTCTTGTTAGAGCCTTAGCCTTTTTTTTTTTTTTTAAGAATTATTAATTAATTAATTATTTTGAGAGGTTTTTACTATAGGGCGTGTGCGCTCGCCAGACAGACAGAGAGTCAGAGAGACAGAAAGCGAGAAATCACCTCCCAGGGGAGATGGCCACGCCACAATCCCTTCTCCTCCGTTCTCCTCTCGGGATCTTGGGCACACACACACCCGGCGTGAGTTTAAGCCACTGGGTCCAGGATTCGAACCACAGTCGACTACGTGGGAGTCCAGCAACATAGCCATTACACTAACTGCTGGTCCCAGAATTATTCATTTATTTTTTATTCTTCAATTTGAGCAGAGACGGAGGAGGGAGAAGGGGAAGAGAGGGGCTGTGGGTAGGAAGCAAACTGCCAGGTTCAGGACCTGAACCACGGTCAGCCATGTGGGAGTCCAGTGTCTCAACCACCACACCACCTGCTATCCCTCATAGCTGTTATGTTAAAGAACAGAAGATGTCATAAGGTGAACTGAAACATCAGTATTCAAATAAAATATCTAATAATGGCTCAAAAATAAAGTATATTTTTAAGCCAGGGTCTTGCCATATCATGTTTCTTCTACTTCACTTTCCTGAGTAGCTGAGACAGGCACACAGCATAATACATGGCCTACTTTTTTTTTTTTTTTTTTTTTTAAATAAATTTCCTTAGCCACTCCTTTGGAACAGTAAACTAGGTCTGTAAAAATAAAGATATTTTGGAGCCAGCAGGTGGTGTGGTGGTTCAGGTGCTGGATTCCCACGTGGCCAACCATGGTTTGAGACCTGGACCTGGTGGCTTGCTTTCTCACTTTCTCTCTCTCTCTCTCTCTCTGTTGAGAGCACATGCGCTATATAGTTAATGTAAAAAACAATAATGATAAATTAAATTAAATAAATAATTAAATATATTTTTCCCCATTAGAAAAAGAAGTGATTCTACTAAATCTCCGTGGTAGAGGGACAGTATAAATGACTGTGCGTTTATATGTGGGGTCGTCAGAAAAGTCATAATGTATTTTTTCTGTTTTTCTGCGTAACAATGTGTCATGACTTTTCTGGCGACCCAATATATAGCATCCATTTATACCACTGTGTATGAATTGGCAATATATTATAGATAAAAATTATATATTAGCTTATTACGGTGTTTTCTTTTTTCCTTTTTTTTATTTGAGAATTCTCAGGAGTATCAGTTGTCACATTAAAATGTCAACACATAAGTATAACTAATTGTCATTTAGTTAATTGTCATTTTGGAAAGATTTGCTTATTTATGTAATCCCATTTGTTGTTATTAGTTTTTAATTTGACCAGAGAGGGCCAGAGAGAGAGAGAGAGAAAGGAAAAGTGAGAAAGCAAGCCGTTAGGTTCGGGATTCAAACCACAATCGGCCATATGGGAATTCAGTGTGCTTAACCACCATGCCACCTGCCAGCCTCAAGTTAATTGTTTTTAATGAATTGTCATTTTCTTTTTTCCAAGCCCTCCCCTACACTAACATTAATTTCTTTTTTTTAAGTTTTTTTTTGCCATAGGGTATATGCACTCACCAGAGAGACAGAGAGAGACAGAGAGGGAAAGTGAGAAATCACCCCCAGGGGGGCTGACCACACTGCAGTCCCTCCTCCATTCTCCTCTTGGGATTTTAGGCATGCATGCACGTGTACCATGTATGGTTTTGAAGCCACCAGGTCTGGGATGTGAACTGTATGGTTGGTGATGTGAGATCCAGCCACCTTAACCACCATGCCACCAGCTTGTTTTTCAGTTAAAAAATAAAGACCAAAAAAATTGCCAGGGATGCATGTGCTCACCAGGGAGGGAGGGAGGGAGGGAGAGAGAGAGAGAGAGAGAGAGAGAGAATGAATGAGAGAATGGACAACCCAGTGGGGTGTGTTCATGCTTCAATCCGTCTTCCTCCATTTCTTCACCCTGTTGGGATTTGGGGCACCCACGCACATATGCCTGCAGTGTTTCTTGCTGCCAGTGCTCTAATTTGAACTGCGCAGTCAGCCTTGTGGGATCTGGCTTTCTTAACCATCAGGCCAGCCCAGCCCAGTTTTTACATATTTTTAGTTGTTATTTTATAATTTGCAGTTGAGGGGGCTGGCGGGTGGCATTGGTGTCTAGGGGTGCTGGGCTTCCACATGACTGACCGCGGTTCAAGTCCTGGACCTGGTGACTTGCTTTCTCAGCTTGCATTCTCACTTTCTCACTCTCTCTCTCTCTCTCCCCCGCCCCTTTCTGGTTCAATTAAAATAAATAAATATATAAATAAGTAAATTTCAATAAAATAATTCTTTGGAAAATAATTTGCAGTTGGCAGGTAAAAGTTACAGTTTTCTTTTTGTAATTTCATTAGATGTTAAAATACAATTAAAAGTCCTGCTATTAATATTTAATGGGACACCAAAGCAAGAATAACTTCATTTTCTTCCCTTTTCTTGTTAAGGGTGAAACAAATGACTTTGAGTTGTTGAAGAATCAGCTGTCAGATCCAGACATAAAGGTAATTAACTGTGTGACCACTAGCCAAGTCATTACCGCCATGGATCGTGCAGACATTGCTGTGCACTCTCCAGAACTTGCTCTCTCCGTATCCCATTTTTCCTTAATCCAATGGTTTGCACCCAGGGGCAGTTTTACCCCCAGGGGACATTTGGCTGTGGCTGAAGACATTTTTGCTTATCATAGCTGGGAGGAGGGGTGCTGCTGCTCTCTAGGGGATGGGTGACGGGGTGCTTGTAGGCATCTCAAAATACACAGGGTGCTGCTCTCCCCACACACATAGCCAGGAATCGTCCAGCCCAGATGCCCACCACACTGAGATTGGGAAATGCTCACTAATCCAACTCATCTCTCTCCAGGGCTAAAACAAAAATAAAAGCACCACTAATGATCAGTTGGACTTCAAATTGCTATTCTTTTAGCATATCCAAGGTCATATAGTAAGAGCTCTCTAAATTTTGTTTCCCTATCTTCTTTTACTACACAGTTTTGGAAGAAATATTCTATACCATGGGAAAGGTCATGAGATCACCTGGGGTAAAATGCTGACTTTGTTCTCCAGTGTGGGATCTTGGGCAAATTGTTTAATCTTTATGTTTCTGTTTTCCTCTCTGGAAAACAGTAGAGGTTTTTTCTTTTTTTAAGAGGTTTTCGCTATAGGGCACGTGCGCTTGCCAGAAAGACAGAGAGAGACAGAGACAGAAAGCGAGAAATCACCCCCTGGGGGGGTGGCCATGCCGCAGTCCCTTCTCCATTCTCCTCTTGGGATCTTGGGCACGCATACTCATGTGCCCGGCGTGAGTTTAAGCCCCCGGGTCTGGAACTTGAACTGCGGTCGACTACTTGGGAGTCCAGTGACATAGCCATTACACTAACTGCTGGTCCCAAGTCCACTATTCTCAAATCACTGTTGTAGTTACCCTCCCAAAGGTTATCAGTGGTTCTTCCAGGCTGATTTCAGTGGACTTTTGTCTGTGCCTCCTATTAGTTTTTTATAGCTATAAAACCCTGTGGCTACCAGCTTAAAATTTTTCAGTGTCTCTGATCATTCATCTTTAATCATTCTCTCCATAGGTGGTGTTTCTTCAATTTTAGATTGATTTGGTTTCTAAACTTGACCCTTTTCTCACTCTAGAGATTCATCCTATGTAATCGCCTTACACCCTCAGTGCCTTTTTTTTTTTTTTTTGGGAGAGTTTTTCACTGTGGGGGAGTTTTAAGCCACCGGGTCCGGGACGCGAACCGCGGTCGACTACGTGGGAGTCCAGCGACATAGCCATTACGCTAACTGCTGGTTCCCCACCCTCAGTGCCTTTGAAATGTTCTCTGATAACTCCTAAATTTGGATCTATAGCTCAGATTGCGGTGGCAGGCTCCAAACTTGTTTCTTCCTCCCTTCCTCTCTCCCTTACTTAAAACAAAAATTATCTACCTATTTTTATTTATTTATTTATTTATTTATTTATTTTGAGAATGGGGCATGTGTGCTTACTGGAGAGACTGACAAAGATAGAGAGACAGAAAGTGAAAAATCACTTCCCCAGGGGGATGGCTACACTCTAATCCCTGCTCCTCCACTCTCGGGATTTTGGTCTCGCATGTACACACACCAGGTGTGTTAAGCTGCCTGGTCTGAGATTCGAACCACGATTGACTACATGGGAGTCCAGCAACGTAACCATTATGCTATCTGCTGGTCTCTATTTATTGTAATTTTCAAGCTGCCTGGACTACCATGTGAGAATCCAGGACTCTAACCACCATGAAACTGCTGACTCCCCTTTTCTTCCCTCTATGGGGCATTGTGTGCTTGCCAGAGAGAAAGAGAGAGAAAGACAGAGACAGAGAGGAAGCATTCCCTAGAGGGGATGGCTGTGCACAATCCCTTTTCCTCCATTCTTCTCTCAGGATTTTGGGCACATGCACACAAGAGTCTGGCATGTTTTTCAAGCTGCCACGTCCAGGACTAACTGCTTGGTCGGCTATGTGGGTTCCAGTGCCTTAAAGAGCACACCACTGGCTGGTCCCCAAACTTGTTTCTTAACTGCCTGCTGCATGTATTGATACAGAATTTTTGCAAGTGTTCCGAACTTAGCATATCTTAAAAAAGCTCATTGTCTTCCCCAGATCCATTCCTTCTAGAGCCTTTATGTGCTTAACTGTTTATTTCTTACTCAGTTCTTTTTACTTATTATTATTTTTGGAATTTGCCATAGGGCACATACATGAGAGATAGAGAGAGAGAGAAAGTAAACCGCCAGGTCTAGGACTCGAACTACAGTCGATCTTGTGGGAGTCCAGCATCTTACCCACCAAGCCATGTGCTGGCCCCTCTTACTCAGTTCTTGAGTAGGAACTTTGGAGTCTTTCTGGACTTTCTCACTCATATCTACTCATTTGTTCCAAGTCCTTTGGTGGGAAAAATCTGTCAAGGCTTCCCATTTTATTGGTGCTCTCTTATCTGGATTCTTTCAGTAACCTCTTGCGTGGTCCAGTCCTCCTGTCACATAGTTCTCCCCTTTCCCCTGATTTGTACTCATCAGCATAGCCTGACTCAGCTCTCTAAAGCACTGTCTAAGCATGTCATTCCCCTGCTAAAAGCCTTGTGTGCTTAGGGCAAAACAATGGATCAGCTTATCAAGGCCTGCAATGTATTTTTCATGTTCTATTTCACTTTTACTTTATTCCCTGAATTTGCCACTTCTTTTCATCTTTATACCTTTGCTTGTGCCTTTTCTTTTTTCTTTTAGGTTTTTGCCATAGGATGTATGCTTGCCAGAGAAGAGAGACAGATACAGAAAGGGAAAGTGAGAAATCACTCCCCAGGAGGGATGGCTATGCCACATCGTTTCTCCTCCATTCTCCTCTCAGAATTTTGGGCACGCACATACACGTGCCTGGCATGATTTTCAAGCCATCAGGTCTGGGACTTTAACCACAGTTGGCCATGTGGGAATTCAGCTTCTCTAACTACCACACCACGTGCCTGCCTCTACATGTGCCTTTTTTTCTGGCCATGGGTCGGGGGGGGGGGGTCCTCTGTGTCCACATTATTTGCTGTTTATTTGAGCATGGGCTCTGGCTACCTTGCTTCCTCACTAGCTGGGTGAACAGGCAAGTTCACTGCACTTCAGTGTCCCCATCTATAAAATGGGAATCGGTGGTACTTAGCTCATGGAGTGGTTGTAAGGAATAAACGATTTAATTATGAGGGTACTTCAAAGAGTCTATGGGAAAATGAAATTAAAGTACAAATCAGTTTTGGTGCAAAATGTTTTGAAACCTGTGCAGAGTGTTTTATTATTTATTTATTTTTAAGGAGAGGTTTTTTGCTATAGGGCATGTGTGCTTGCCAGAGAGACAGAGGTAGATAGATAGATAGATAGACAGACAGACAGACAGATAGCTAGAGCGATAGAAGGATTGACCCCACGGTTGGCCGTGTGGCTTCTAGCACCACAGTTCAGTTTGTTAATGACTCTACAGCTTGGGCCTATACGCCCTATTAATAGTCCATTGCTGTAGGTGTGACTCTACATTACTTCTTTAAAAAAAGAATAATTTATTTATTACTATTATGACTATTTTTACATTTGCTTTGGATATATGCATTCACCTGAGAGAGACAGAGAGAGAGGAAAAGTGAGAAAGTAAGCTGCCAGGTCCTGGACTTGAACTGCCATCAGCCATGTGGGAGTCCAGTCCCTTACCCACCACGGCCACCTGCTGACCCTGACACCATATTACTTTCTTTTTATGTGTCTGACCTCTGCTGGGTTTTAATGAGCATTAGTCACTTTCTTTCATAAATTAGGGGCTTCTTAACAGTTTTTTCTTGTGTCTGTTCTATATATACATGAGTATAAATATTATATTTATTTTACATAACTGGTATTTTGTATTCTTTTCATTTAGCAGTTTCTTGTGTCAGTAAAAATTGCTGTGAACAGTGATTTTATTGCTCTAAAAGTATTTCATGGAGTAATGGAACCATCAGTTATACAAAACACATCTTAATACATTTAAACCCAGCCATAGACTGGGTTTACACAAAGTTGTATTTATTGGGCCAGCCCCATAGCCTAGTAGTTTAAGGAGCTGGATCCAGCATGGCCAGCTGTACTTTGAATCCCAGCCTCTGTAGCATGAAAAACATGCCAGGCGTGTGTGCTTATGTGCTCAAAATCCTGACAAGATGGAGAAGATACCCCCCTGTGAAGAAGGGACTAGGGGGTATTTACTGCCTCTTCCTGTGTGTATGTCTGTCTCTGGTAAGTGTACATGTCTCTGGCAATTAAAAGAGAAAGAAGGGGACTAGCAAATGGTGTAATGGTTATGTTGCTGGACTCCTACGTAGTCGACTCCAATTCAAGTCCTGGACCTGACAGCTTAAAACTCATGCCTGGTCCTCATGCATGCATGCCCAAGATCCTGAGAGGAGAAGGGAAGAGAAGGGGTTGCAGCGTGGCCACGCCAGGGGGTAATTTCTTGCTTTCTGTATGTCTTTGTCTCTCTAGCAAGCACATGTGCCCTATAGCCAAAAAAAAAAAGAGAGAGAGAGAAAGAAAGAAAAAGTGGAGCTGACTGGTTGTGTGGTGGTTGGGGCAGCTGGATAAGTGTGTAGTTCAAGTCTCTGACCCCTGGTCTGAGGGACATGGTATGGGTATGTGTGCATGTAAAGTCCTCAGAAAATGATGAAGGAGAAGGGGTTGCATCTTCACTATCCTCCTCATGAAAGCCCACATCCTGTAGCAAAAATATAAAACAAAATTTTAAAATAGGGAAGTTTATTTGGACATGGTTTTCTATTTGATAACCAGTTTGGTTTAATTACAAGTTTGTGACTTTTTCCTCCAGCTTAAATATTATTGATAGACATTTAATGCAAGGTAGGTATAATTTTCTCTCTTACCTTAGAGGATTTGTGATTTCTAAAGTACTTTTCTTTGTTTATCTTAAGGATGACCAGATCCTTAACTGGCTGCTAGAATTCCAACCATCATGTACTTGACAAAAGACTTTGAGCAACTTATCACTATTTTGTTGGTAAGTTCATTATTTCTCAACTGCCTGTATGTAATCTCAGTAGTTTGAAAGTAGAGTATATCCGTAAAATGCTTGTTACCTTTGTCTCCCAACTTTAGAGGTTGCCTTGGCTGAACAGGAGTCAAACAGTGGTGGAGGAGTATTTGGCCTTTCTTGCTAACCTTGTATCAGCACAGACTGTCTTCCTTAGACCATGTCTCAGCATGATTGCTTCTCATTTTGTACCTCGTAAGTGTTACTCTTTGCTTACTTGTATTTTTCTTTTCTTTAAAGAATTATTTAATTTTATTTATTCATTTATTTTAACTTGACCAGCGAGAGAGACATACACACACAGAGGGGAAGTTAGAAAGCAAGCCTCTAGGTTCAGGACTCGAACTGTGGTCGACCACGTGGGAATGTCCAGCACCTTCACCACCATGCCACTTGCCGACCCCTGTTGCTGTAATTTTTAGGAATTGGGATTTGCTTTTAGTGAGTTTCAGACAAAATTTTGTACTCGTCAAATAGTATTTAGCTGTTTAAAAACTATGAAGTTGCCTTATGTTTTTTCAGATTGAAAATTCAATCATTGTACTAAGTTTGGAAAGTGGATAAATATAGCCATTTTGTATAGCTGTTCTTTATCTGGATCAATGACAGAATACCATATTTTCTTTTTCCCTCAAAAGCCCGCGTGATCATAAAGGAAGGTGACATAGATGTTTCAGATTCTGATGATGAAGATGACAGTAAGTATAAAAAAGGATGCAGTGAAGAGTACCTCTTATGTCTTAGAGGAAGCATGCTGAATGATAAAACGTTCTAATAGGTAGACTGTAACAAATGACAGTCTTTTTTTTTTTTTTTGGGGGGTTTTTGCTAAAGGGGGCTTGGGCTTCCCAGCAGAGAGAGACAGAGAGACAGAAAGCGAGAAATCACCCCCCAGCGGGGATGGCCACGCCGCAATCCCTTCTCCTCCATTCTCCTCTCAGGATCTTGGGCATGCATGCACACGCGCCCGGCGTGAGTTTCAAGCCACTGGTTCCGGGATGCCAACCGTGGTCGACTACATGGGAGTCCAGTGACATAGCCGTTACGCTAACTGCTGGTCCCCACAAATGACAGTCTTCGATAGAACCTTTTTGTTATATTTAAGCATTAATATGCAGTTAGCTGTCCGAAGTGCATAATTTATATAATTTGTCCATTTAGTCTTAATTGATGGTTAGTGGAGAAAATTCTTAAGATTATTATTTCTCTGATTGATTATTCAGTTTTGGTTAGCAAACCTTGTTAGCTTTGAGTGAACAACTTTTTCAGTCTCCATTTTTGTTTTGATGCTTATATTCTCAACTTCTCTCAATTTGTAGATCTTCCTGCAAATTTTGACACATGTCACAGAGCCTTGCAAATAATAGCAAGATATGTCCCATCGTGAGTATATTTTTTTTACTTACTTCAAGTCATTGTGTTTGATTCTCAAGAAAATGATAATCAATTAGTAGAAAAATATAAAACGTTAATAGCATAAAAACTTGAGTTGTGTGCTGCATGTTTTTGTATCCTATTGATGATACATCACATTTTACAGATAATACTATTTCTGTTTTCTTTTCATTGTCTTTTTTTTCACCCCCCCATTGTCTTTAATTAATTTTCAAAACATATATGCAAATTCTCCCCTAGATTTTGTATAGTGGTTGGAATTTTGCTTTTATCTTCAACAGATACAATATCCAAAAAGTTTCAGTGAGAAACTCCTGTGTGTGTTTGTGTCATGCCATATGAATAAAAATTGCAGTTCTAAGAAAAGCTTTTCAGGTTTGTGGGTTACTTCGGAGGGGTGGACTTTTGCAGTTCCCTCTGTAAGTTACTATCTGTTAACTTAAGAAAATCCAAGTTGATTTATTTTTGCCCCTTTAAAAGTAACATATATGAGAGAAATATTTGCATTTTAAACTTAAGCTTTGTTAAACTTTTATAGGGAAAAAACCTTTCCCTTTGCTTTGCTGTTGACAGCAAAGCTAATAGAAGCTTATTTTCCCCTTTGTCAGTGAGTCTCTGAAGCGATACTGTTAGTTGCCTGATACTGTTAGTTGCCTGCGGCATTCATGTTTGACCCCCGGATGTATCCATGTTTCCTCTTAGAATGCGGATACCTTCCTAGAAAGTTCATTTAACATGGATTGGTTGAATTTATTATTACTATTTTTTCCATAGGACCCCATGGTTTCTTATGCCAATACTGGTGGAAAAATTTCCATTTGTACGAAAATCAGAGAGAACGTTGGTAAGAAATCTTTGGAAAGTGCAGAAAAGTTGTTTTGTGTGATTTTGTTTTAGATGATGTTAGGTCATTTTCATAGAAGTTGTTTTGTCTTGGGGACCAGCAGTTAGCGTAATGGCTGTGCGCTGGACTCCCACATAGTCGACCGCGGTTCGAGTCCTGGACCCGGCGGCTTGAACTCACACCGGGTGCATGTGCGTGTGTGCCCAAGATCCCGAGAGGAGAATGGAGGAGAAGGGATTGTGGCGTGGCCATCCCCGCTGAGGGGTGATTTCTCGCTTTCTGTCTCTCTGTCTGTCTCTGTCTGGTGAACACACACCCTATAGCAAAAAACCTCTCCAAAAAAAAAGTTGTTTTGTGTATTTCAAACTCATGACTAAGAATGTGACTCAGATTCTTTTCTTAGCAGGTGACTACTGGGGATTCCCAGTGGCTTTTTTTCTCTGTTTATTGCCATGTGCAAATCAAGGTCAGAGTTCATTTCAGAAATACCTTAGAGGTTTACTGCTTACACAGATAAGAATTACTGGAATAGTAGTTGGTTTGTTCCTAATTGTAAGTAAGCCTTACCTGAACATGAAAACTCATGCTTCTGTAGATGAATCCTGTTTAAATTTTTGTGTAATATTTAGATCATCTGTGTAGTTTTCAACAACTAATAGTGCTCGTTTTCCAAACTTTTTTTTTTGGAGAGGTTTTTGCTATAGGGTGCGTGCACTCACCAGAAAGACAGAGACAGAGAGACAGAAAGCAAGATTGCAGCCATGCCGCAATCCCTTCTCCTCCATTCTCCTCTTGGGATCTTGGGCATGCACGCACACACGCCTGGCGTGAGTTTAAGCCACCGGATCTGGGACTCCAACTGTGGTCGACCACATGGGAGTCCAACAACATAGCCATTATGCTAAGTGCTGGTCCCCCAAACTTTTTTTTCTTAAATAAGGTATATTACATATATTAAATAAGTAGTTAATAACTTGTGCTAATGGTCATTATATTCTGCTTCCAGTGAAATATTATAAACCACTGTGTTTTTTAAGAAGGCAGATGCATAAATCCTCAATGATGTTAGAGAAATGAATCTGGCAACATACTAAAAGAATTACGTGGGGCCAGCAGATGGCGTGATGGTAACGTTGCTGGACTCTCCCATAGTTGACCATGGTTCGAGTCCTGGACCCAGCAGCCTAAAACTCACACCAGGTTCATGTGCGTGTGTGCCCAAAATCCCAAGAGGAGGGATTGTGCAGTGTGACCATCCCCCCACTGCCCCCAGGGGAGATTTCTCACTTTCTGTCTCTCCAGCAAGCACATGAGCCCTATAGCAAAAATCTAAAATATATATATATATATATATATATATATAAACAAGCTAACACAACAGTTTTAGAGCAAGGTGTAACTCTCTGTTAATTAACCCTTATATTTAACTTTCAAATATAATAGAGATTGTTTAGTCCTACTATTACAATGACTTTGAGGATGAACTCCTGTTTAGCATAAGAACAATAAACAGGCCGGAAAGGGCAGTGGATTGGCAGCTCTGATCAGCACTTTGGAGGTCAGTCAATCAAATGAGTTGATTTTGGTAAATCAGTTAGCTTCCTTGGGAAGTTTAAAGTATTTTAAATATACTTAACACCTGAAAGATCAGTTACTACGATACAATGTATCCATAGAATAAAAGACAAAAATCACATAATCATCTCAGTAGATGGGGAAAAGGGGTTTGACAAAAAAACTAATACCTGAATGTTCGTGGCATTATTCATAATAGCTAAAAAGTAGAAATAACTCAAACGTCTACTGCCTGATGGATAGACAAAACATTGTATACCTGTACAATGAAGTGTTATTTGGCAGTAGAAAGGAATGATTTACATTCTACAACATGAATAAACCTTAAACACAGTCTAAAATACCACATATTATATCATTCCATTTTTATGACATGTCTAGAAGAGGCAAATTCATAGAGACAACCAGTACCAGTTGCCTTGGGGTGAGCTAATAGATACAGGGTGATAAAGATGGCTCTAAAGTAGAGGCTGGCCCCATAGCCTGGTAGTTAAGGGAGCTGGAACTCACTTGATTGAGCACAGTTCTAAACCTGGCCCTTTCAGCTTGAAAAACATGCCTGTTGCATGCACAAATATGCCCTGAATCTGGATAGGATGGAGAAATGGAGAAGAGATTGGGGCATGAACACAGCCCATTGTGGGGTGCTCCCCCCGACCTCTGTGTCAGGTGAGCACACGTGCCCTTTGGCAATTAAAAAAAAAGTTCTAGGGGCCAGCAAGTGGTTGGTGGTTGAAGGCTATGGATTCCCACATGCCTGACTGCGGTTCAAGTCCCAGACCTGGCGACTTATTTTCTCACTTTACCTTTCTCTCTGTCTCGTCAAATTAAAATATAATAACAACAACAAATAGAATTAAATAAATAAATAATTATTTAAAAAGAGAAAGTTCTGAGCCTGCCAGGTGGCATGGTAGTTAAGGTAGCAGGATTCCTCATGGCCCGCTTTGTAGTTCAAGTCCTAGGCCCAGCAGCTTGAATAAAACACCTGGTGTGTGTGTGTGTGTGTGTGTGTGTGTGTGTGTGTGTGTGTGTGTACATGTACGTGCCCAAAATCCTGAGAAGAGAATGGAGATGGGATTACAGGGGAGTGAGTTCTCACTTTCTGTCTCCACTGCCAGCAAGCACACAAGCACATGTGACCTATAGCAAAACTAAAAAAAATCGTTCTATAATTGGATATGAGAAAGGTAAAGTGAGAAAATAAGTCGCCAGGTCTGGGACTTGAACTGCAGTCAGGCATGTGGGAATCCATAGCCTTCAACCACCAACCACTTGCTGGCCCCTAGAACTCTGAGTATGCTAAAAGCTGCACACTTTTAAGTGGGTGAATTGTGTGGTGTATCAGTTATATTTCAGTAAAGCTATTTTTTTTTTAAGAATTATTTAATTTTAGGGGGACCAGCGGGTGGTGTGGTGGTTAAGGTGCTGGACACTCCCACATGGCCAGCCACGGTTTGAATCTCAGATTGGATGGCTTTTTGCCATCCCTCCCTCCCTTCGCCCCCCCCCCCCCCCCCCCCCCCTCTCTCTCTCTTTCTCTCTCTCTGTCTCTCTCTAGTCAAATTAAAATAAATAAATAAATAAAATTAATTCTTTTTGACCAGAGAGGGCAAGTGAGAAAGCAAGCCATCAGGTTCAGGACTCAAACTGTGGTCGGCCATGTGGGAGTCCAGTGCCTCAACCACCATGCCACCTGCTGGCCCCAAGCTATTGTATTTTTAAAACACTTTAGAAGTATGCATATTACAAATTCAGCTTACTAGGATTAGTTGGATTATATTGAACATTATACATATAGAAAGAGCACAATTTCTGTATTGTTAGATAGCATTTTTTTGTTTCTTCATTTCAAACTAAAGATTGTATAATTGATATCTTTGTTACATAAATATAAAACTTTTTGTTGAAATGTTTATCTTTTTGTGTTTCATGCTTTAGGAATGTTATGTTCACAACTTACTAAGGATTAGTGTATATTTTCCAAACCTGAGGCATGATATTCTGGAACTTGTTATTGAAAAGCTACTCAAGTTGGATGTAAGTATTGAGTAATCTTCTCCTTGATTTTCATTGATTGACTCTATTGTGTTTGTTCTCTCTACAGTTATGGAGAATCCTATGACTGAAAGAAGCATTATGATTGTGGTTGGGGAACATAGTCTTTGTAAAAGTCTTGTGTATACTTAGGAACGTATGTAATATGTTTACAGAGAAGGTGATGGTAAAGGCGTGAAGTAAAAAAGGCAACATTTGATGGCATGTTAAACAAGATATTTGAAGTGTGAGATACCAAAATGAGTATGTAATCATTCACTTTTGACTTGTAGTTTATTACTTTTTTGCTCAATTGATCGATGGTATACTTTTAAAAAAAAAATTGCCGGTGGGCACTTGTGCTTGCTGAAGCGAGAGAAAGAAGAGATGTGAGAAAGACTCCGTGGGGGTGGGGATGGCCGTGCCACAGTCCCTTCTCCATCTCTCCCTTCAGGATTTTGGACACTCACATGCATGCCCAGAATGTTGCTAAGCCACCGTGACCAGGTCCTGAACAGCGTAGTTGGCCATAAAGCTACCTTAACCACTATACTGGCCCGAGGATATGCTTCTTATGCAACCTGTATTTGAGTATTGTGTATGTAGAAAGAAGTGAATGTGCATTGAAGTTACTGAGGTTGACTTGGAATATCGCGTCTTAGTTTTCACTACTTCTATCTCAGTATGTAGTAAAAGGTTCTGATTTATAAACTTTCATTTTTTTATGACCCAGGTCAATGTTTGATCATACTCATGTATTTTGTTAAAGTGCTTTGTGTACGGTGCCAGTCTGACCTGCAAATTATGGCTATCAGATGAATTTCCAGCCCCAAAATAGTGTAGTTGTGTTTGAATTATAGTCTCTCTTTTTCTTTTCCCTTCGTTGCCATGTAGGTGAATGCCTCCCGGCAAGATATTGAAGACGCTGAGGACACAGCCGCTCAAACGTGTGGAGGGACAGATTCCACAGAAGGATTGTTTAACATGGTCAGCATTTCTTTCTTTCTTTTTTTTTTTTTTTTTAAGAATTATTTTATTTTACTTATCTATTAATTTTAATTTGACCAGAGAGGATCAGAGTGAGAAGGAGAGAGAGAGAGAGGGAAAGTGAGAAAGCAAGCCACTAGGTCTGGGACCATGGTTGGCTATGTGGGAGTCCAGTGCCCTTAATCATGACACTTGCTGGCCCCTTGTTTTTTTTTTTGAAGAGAGATTTTTGCTATAGGGTGCATGTGTGCTTACCAGAGAGATGGAGACAGACAGACAGAAAATGAGAAATCACCCCTGGGGGAAATGGCCATGCCATGCCCCTTCTCCATTCTCCTCTTGGGATTTTGGGCACACATGCACACGTGCCCAGTGTGAGTTTTAAGCTACCTGTCCAGGACTCGAACCTGGTGGACTATATGAGAGTCTAGTGACGTAACCATTTCGCCATCTGCTGGTCCCCATGGTCAGCATTTCTTTATTTTTGGAGGTTTTTGCTATAGGGCACATGCGCTCGCCAGAAAGAGAGAGAGAGAGAGACAGAAAGCGAGAAATCACCCTCCAGGGTGGATGGCCATGCCACAATTCCTTCTCCGTTCTCCTCTCAGGATCTTGGGCACACACCGCAGGTACCTGGAGTGAGTTTAAGTCAGGACTTGAACCGCAGTCAACTACATGGGAGTCCGGGACTTGAACCGCAGTCAACTACGTGGGAGTTCAGCAACATAGCCATTACGCTAACCGCTGGTCCCCCCGTGGTCAGCATTTCTAACAAGGAAAACAGGTGTACAAAGTTAACCATCTCAGAGGATAGGAAGAGGTGGCTAGTGGCCTCTCATCCTTTTTAAGGCTTTAGGTTAAAACCACTAGAATATTTCAACAGGCTTGGAAATGACTCCATAAATGAGTTGTTTGCTGCCTCATATAATCAGTTTATTTCCAATAAACTGTACTGGGTTTGGTGAAGTATGATGGGTCTTCAGAATGTTTGGAGAGAATGCATATTATGGAAAAAAAAAAGCATGGATTTAAAAAAAATTGTATTTAATCAATTTTTTTAAGAGAGATTTTTATTATAGGGCATGGACGCTTATTGGACAGAGACAGAAGGTGAAAAATCACCCCTCAGGGGGAGTGGCCGTGCCACAATCCCTTGTCCTCCAGTTTCCTCTTGGGATTTTGGGCACACGCACATACGCGCCCAGCATGAGTTTCAAGCCACTGGGTCCAGGACTTGAACTGTAGTCAACTATGTGGGAGTCCAGTGATATAATCATTTTGCCATCTGCTGGTTCTGACTTCAAAAATTTTTGCACCAAAATAAGCCAGAAGGCACATGTGTTTTCCATGTGAAGTAAGCATAAAGTAAGCACCCGGTCTGGGGGATGATCATGGTATAGTCTCTTCTCCATCTCTCCCTCCTATGGGGGTGTTGGGGAAGCACACACACATGTGCCTGGTGTGTTTCTCAAGCCTCAGTCCAAGACTCAAACTGCACAGTCAGCCCTGTGAGGTCCAGCCACCTTAATCACCATGCCACTTGATGCCCCCAATTCCATTTTTTCTATGAACTTTTTAAAGTCCCCTTATGTTTCACTATATTCTAAGGTTTTTGGTGTTTGTCACATGCATATTTGTGAGGGAGTGATCCATAGAAAATCATATGAGGTAAGCGTCTTGTTTTACCAGGGTTATGCCTTGAAGCAGTGTTTCCCCACCTGGGGTCAGGTTGAGGTTGACTTCAGTGGCGAGAGAGCCTGAGAAGGGTTCAGGTGCTCTTGGCACATAGGATCAGGGGGCAGAAGGTGCTTAGCAAGGGTATGGTCTCAGCCGGGGAATAGCCACTACCCGATCCCACCAGGAGCTCTGGAGCATGAATTACTCCACAGAGTTGTGACCAAGCTTGAGGCCAGGAAGATGGCCTCTTGACTCCTTGGCAGTCAGTCATTGGTTCTGAGGGGAAGGAGTCCTAGGCAGTCCTGGTTCCTTTATTGCTGAAGGCAGCTCTGGAGAAGAGAACACTGTGAGTTTTTGGTAGCCAACTCTTTTTCTTTTTTTTTTTTTAGGAATCTTATTTTGAGCCAGCAGGTAGAGTGGTGGTTAAAGGTGCTGGACTCTCACATGGCCAGTCATGGTGCAAATCCTGGACCTGGTGGCTTCCTTTCTCTCATTTTAACTTTATTTATTTATTTATTTATTTATTTATTCCATTTGATCAGAGAGAGAGAAAGGAAGCCACCAGGTCCGGGACTTGCACCATGATTGGCCATGTAGAAGTCCAGCACCTTAAACCACCACGCCATTTGCTGCCCCCAGGTAGCCAACTCTTAACATAGGTTGGGGATGAGTACCCTGATGTGGAAAGAGGAGTCTGGCACCAACAGTGGGTACCAGTGGGTGGATGGAAGAGCCTGATACTTGCATGGCCACGTCTGATTGGTCTCTAAGTGAAAGTCAGAAGCTGGTGCTCTGAATCTATGCTTTGGCTTTAAACTTCAGGTAGTTCCGACTCACCCCAGAATGAGAGCCCCTGCCTCAGAAGGTGCCTATGTATTTTCTTTGTTTTATCTTATACTACCATTATGTTTTAATGTTTTGCTATAAGGCACGTGTACTTGCCATGCCACAATCCCTTCTCCAGTCTCCTCTTCGGATTTTGGGCACCCACGTACACCTTGTTTTATCTTTTTAAAAAAATAATTGTTTGTGGGGCCGACATGTGGCATGGTGGTTAAAAACGCTGGACTCCCACATGGCCAACCGTGGTTCAAGTTCCAGACCTGGTGGCTTGCTTTCTCACTTTCTCTCTCTCTCTCTTTCTCTGTCTCTCTCTGATCAAAAATAAAAAATAATAGAAAATAAAGTTAAATATAATAATTCTTTTAAAAAATTGCTTGTGAGGATTTTCCCACTAATCAATTCCACTACATTCTTTAATGTCTATTTTCTTTTTTGTCTTCAAAGGATGAAGATGAAGAAACGGAACACGAAGCAAAGGCTGATCCTGAGCGGCTCGATCAGATGGTCCATCCTGTGGCGGAACGCCTGGACATCTTGATGTCTTTGCTTCTGTCCTACATTAAGGACGTCTGCTATGTAGATGGTAACATCCTGCAGTCATCAGCACAGCCACTGCTTGTCAAATGCCTGCATGTCCCTGGCTCTGTGCTGGGCATTTTGTCATACATTATCTGTAGTATTAATGAAAGTCACTTTGTCGATTATAAGTTTTGAAAAGTTTAGAGAGGTTGGGCTACTTTGCCTATGTTCTGCAACTTGAAAATGGTGGACTGAGATTCCAGCTCAGTTATATTTGCAGTCAGAGCCCCAGATCTTCTCACTGCCTAGTGTATTAAATGAAAACATACTGGATTTGGTCAGTTTTAGGCAGAGATTAAGTTGTACTCATGTGACTAGAGACATTTAAGAACGGCGTAGTAGCCATTGGTACACGGTATTACATAGAATGAGTTAGGAGGGTCTTGGCTTGGTGCCGTCATCCCATCCAGTGTTACACTGTACTAAACAAGCTAATGTGTTTCTTCTGCTTGTGTAATTGCAAGCCTTTGCCTGTGGAAGCACAGAATTTTTTTCTATTCACATTGCTAATATTTAAGAATGAGCTCCAAGACTCAAAATAATATGACTTAAATCTGAGTTGACCATGCTACTATTTTAACTTTTTGCTGTTATGAAAACATCACATGTTGATTAGAGAAAATTGGGAAACTATAGGAAGGGATAAAGACTTCACTGACCACATTCCTTCTATTTTTTTTTAAAGAATTATTTACGTAATTTTATTTATTTATTCATTTATTTTAATTTGGCCAGAAAGAGACATACAGAGAGCGAGTAAGTGAGAAAGCAAGCCACCAGGTTCGGGACTCAAACCATGGTCAGCCATGTGGGAGTGTCCAGCACCTTAACCACCACACTACCTGCTGGTCCCTCCTCCTATTTGTTTTTTAAAGAATTATTTTATTCAACTGTGTTTATTGATTTATTTAATTTTTTCACTATAGGGTGCATGCACTCGCCAGACAGAGACAGACATAGAGACAGAAAGCGAGAAATGACCCCCCAGGGGGGATGGTCACGCCGCAATCCCTTCTCCTCCATTCTCCTCTTGGGATCCTGGGCATGCACGCACACGTGCCCGGCGTGAGTTCAAAGCCACCGGGTCCGGGATGCGAACCACGGTTGACTACGTGGGAGTCCAGCGACATAGCCATTATGCTAACTGCTGGTTCCCTTCAACTGTGTTTATTTTATTTATTTTTTAAAATTTGACCAGAGAGGGACAGAGCAAGAGAGAGAGGGAAAGTGAAAAAGCAAGCTACCAGGTCTGGGACTCAAACCCTGGTCGGCCATGTGGGAATTCTGCACCCCTAACCACCACATGCCATCTACTGGCCTCACATTCCTCCTATTTAGAGAACCATTTTTAGCATTTTGATGTACATCTGTCTTATTTTTTCTATTAGCAAGTCTGCATATGAATTTTTTTTCTTTTTGTTTATGTATCGCAAATGGTTTCTCATACCGTTCACTCTTTAAAACAATTGTTATTGGGTCAGCAGGTGGTGTGGAAGTTAAGGTGGCTAGGTCCTACATGGTCCACTGTGTGGTTCTAGTCCTGGACCTGGTAGCTTTGAAAATCACACTGGGAGTGCGTGTGTGTGTGTGTGTGTGTGTGTGTGCGTGTGCGTGCCCAAAATCCCAAGGGGAAAATAGCGAGGCAATCGTAGCATGACCATCCGTCCTAGAGAATACTTTCTTACTTTCCCTCCCTCTCTGTCTCCAGAGAGCTCACATGCCCTGTAACAAAACTAAAACAGCAAACAAACAAAAACAGTTGTTACTGATCATGTGGATTTAACAGATTTCTTTTATTATTTTTCTTCCCTTTTTATGCTGTTAAAAATAATGATTTGGGGGACCAGCAGTTGGCGTAATGGCTATGTTGCTGAACTCTCATGTAGTCAACCGCAATTTGAGTCCCGGACCTGGTGACTTAAACTCACGCTGGGCGCATGTGCACGCATGCCCAAGATCCAGAGAGGAGAATGGAGGAGAAGGGATTGTGGCATGGCCATCCCCTCTGGGAGGTGGTTTCTTGTTTTCTGTCTGTCTTTCTGGCGAGTGCATGCGCCCTATAGCAAAAACCTCTCCAAAAAAAAAACCAACAGTTTAAGGGCTAACAGGTGGCCTGCTGGTTAAGGGCACTGAACGCCCACATGGTTGACCACGGTTCTAGTCCTGGACCTGATGCCTTGCTTTTCCTCTCTCACTCTGTCCCTCTGGTCAAATTAAAATAAATGAATGAATGAATAAATGTTAAATCTAAAAAATAATTAAATAATAATATAGAGACCAGCAGTTGGCGTAATGGTTACGTTGCTGGACTCCCATGTAATCGACCGCTGTTTGAGTCCTGGACCCTGTGGCTTAACACTCAGCACTGGATGCGTATGCATGTGTACCCAAAATCCCAAGAAGAGAGTGAAGGAAAAGGGATTGCAGTGTAGTCATCCCCCGGGGAGTGATTTCTCACTTTTTGTCTCTTGTCTCTGTCTTTGGTGAACACAAGCGCCCCTTTAGCAAAAATCTCTCTTAAAAAAAGGTAATAGAGGAACCAGCAGTTAGCGTAATGGCTATGTCGCTGGACTCCCATGTAGTCAACCGCGGTTCGCGTCCTGGACCCGGTGGCTTAAAACCCACGCCGGGCGCGTGTGCATGCGTGCCCAAGATCCCGAGAGGAGAATGGACGAGAAGGGATTGTGGCGTGACCATCCCCCCTGGGGGGTGATTTCTCACTTTCTGTCTCTATGTCTCTGTCTGTCTGGTGAGCGCATGCACCCTAGAGTGAAAAACCTCTCAAAAAAAAAAAAATGCCGTTGTACATACATCTTCAGTTTGCTGTGATAATTCCTAGCAGCGGAATGACCAGATCAAAGGGGTTATCTTGGAAGAGTTGTAACGTTGCCTCTTAGAAAGGTCCTGTTTAGGGCATCACGGCGACGAGGGAGGGACCGCATTGTTCTAGCTGTTTGTTTTAATGAGTTTAAGGGGTACCATTATGTTTCTTAATGGGTATGTTCTTTTTAAAAATTGGGCAAATGAAAATAGTAGCTTGAATATAATGTCTTTATAATACTGAAATGCTGAATTTTCTCTGCAGGTAAGATTGATAACAACAAAACAAAGGATTTATATCGCGACCTGGTGACCATCTTTGACAAGCTCCTGCTGCCCACACATGCCTCCTGCCACGTGCAGTTCTTCATGTTTTATCTCTGTAGCTTCAAATTGGTGAGTAAGACTGTGAAACATGATCCTAGCTTGTTTTATTCTGACCCACAACTCCATTAAAAAATGGGTAGAGGGATACCATGAGGTGAGTATTTATTTTTCTTAAGCTCATTTTACTTGTCCCCCTAATTAAAAAGCCACATGGAAAAGGCAGAGGGCAGGGCTCTAAAGATGCCATCCTGCCAGTGGTCCACTAGGTGGTGCCCTTCTCATGAGTTCAAGCCATTCTTTATTAAAATCTCCTATGGGATATTTAACTGTTTATTTTCTGTATGTTCTCAAGACTGAGTCCTAACTGGCCCACACCAACTTTTTTATTTATTTATTTTTTGAGAGGTCTTTTTGCTATGGGTGCATGCGCTTGACAGAGAGACAGAGACAGAAAGTGAGAGATCACCCCCCAGGGGGGATGGCCACGCCGCAATCCCTTCTCCTCCATTCTCCTCTTGGGATCTTGGGCATGCATGCACACATGCCTGGAATGAGTTTAAGCCACCAGGTTAGAGACTCGAACCACAGCTGACTACGTGGGAGTCCAGCAATATAGCCATTATGCCAACTGCTGGTCCCAGGCCCACGTCAACTTTTAAACCCCAAATTTTAAAACTTTAGGGTTTGGCTTTCTTTTGGGGGAGAAGAAATACCTCAGGCTGTACCTTCTAGAACAGTCAAGACAGTATTGGTCATAGATAAGAAAGTTGGACGCCATCTGCCCAAGCCAGTAGGTCTGCCATAACTTTCAAAAAGGAACACATGGGAGAATGCTGAGGTTGTGCCCTTTGTTAAAATGCAACTTAAACAGTCTGTTTTCTTCATGATTAGCATAATTAGACACTAGGTGTACTTTAATACATCTATTTATGGTCTAGTTCAGTGGGTGCAGCCCAAGGCTGGGGGATACTTTGTACTGCCGGGGGGGGGTCATTCTGTGTGCAGCTCGGGCATATGGCTTACGTTGGTTTCCCAGTTCTGGCTGAGTGTCATGACCACTTTAAGAGCCTTTCTGCTCTGCAGATTTCAGGGTGGAGACTTCTTTCAGACCTGGTGAATCTGCCGCAGCAGGGGTGATTTTGGTGCTCAGGTGGGTTTGGGATCCATTGGATTATTTTATACTTGGATTCTTTTGTTTCTCGTAGTACCATTGGAAGGTACTTTTTTTTTTTTTTTTGGAGATATTTTCGCTATAGGGCGCGTGCGCTCGCCAGACAGACAGAGACAGACAGAGAGACAGAAAGCGAGAAATCACCCCCCAGGTGGGAT